TGAATGGAAAGAAATTCGAAAAGGAAGAGGACATCATAAACCACTTGGATCAATTTTCTAACAATAAACTCCAGGCATTCTATGAACATGGCATTACGCAGTTAGTGAAAAGATGGGAAAAAAGTCATATTAAATAATGGTCAATATATTGTAGATTAAAATAAATTTAATGTCTATAATGCATTGAGTTTTATTTCATCCTGTAAAAACGAAAGGACTTATTTGCCAATCCAATAAATATATATATGAAATAGACAGTATCTAAGAGAATATATTGCGATTTTGAAACATTTATAATCCAAATTTTCAACGGAAACACTTGTTGAGTAACTACGCACGGTTAGAAACGAGAGGGTTGGGATGTTTTGAAGTTTATTATGGAATGATAGGTATCTGGATTGGTCCTGATCTGAAACATGAGAAACATTAAGGTCATTATCTATGGTTTTATTTGTAACGAAGTAGGGAGCATTGAGGATTTTGGATTGTAATGGTTGGATACAAGAGGAATTCGATAGCTTAGTGGAGCCCCGTAGCTCAACTCCGTCCAAATAGGCCTTATTATAGTCATGTATATGAGTCGTTTGTAATTTTTTTTTTTTTTATCTATTTATTGAATAATAATACAATCAGCCACTGGAGGGCTATAAGTATTAGGGCTAAGAGTTCTTGTTTGTAATTAATTGGAAGTTTAGAGCGTTTGTCTAGTAAGTGCTGAAGTAATCGGAAACGTCGAGCGGTTTCTTTTCGTTTCAGTCTGGTATGAGTACATTTATAAATTTCAATTAAAAAATGTCAATATTTTAATATTGGCGGACCTTGACGACGTTTTTAGTGTGCCTATTGTATGTCAAGATTTTTTATGTGGTGAACTCATTGTTTCCCCACTTTTAAATTTGGAACACCTTTAGCTGCCATATGTTAGAATAACATATAATTTCGTAATAAAAATCAAAAGTTTTTTTTTTCAAAATTAAAAAATGAGGGTTTGGTTTTCTTTGAAAAATATTATATATATAGACTATAGTCATACCGTATATCAAAAGAAATAGCACAAACGACCAAAAAATATGACGCCTGTTTCAGCATTCTAGGTCAAATAGTTCTTCAGAAATAATCCTAAACATATACAAAAAACACACCGTTTTTTGATGGTTTTTATTATTTAATAAATTCTAACTCAAAAACTGTAGTTCAAAAAAATCTAAAATTTTGTGTTTTTCTTTATATTAATGTATTCAACAAATAATCAAAATCCAAGACCCTCTGGGTCAGAACCTTGTTGATTTGAAATGGAATGACCCTAAAAGGTCTTTTATTTATTTTATTCTTTTTATTTAAAGGGAAAATTCGTTGTAAGACGTTGTGACTAGAAGTACAGAATAGTGTAAAATTCACACTCACTGAAATACGAGCTGTTGGTTGTATGTTGGATTTCATAGCATGTAGCTCAGTTTTGTTTCACAGGATTACCACATGGAAGAGTCTAAAGGGTTAATAATTCGAATAAGGGGATAAATTTCGGTTTTGAAATGAAATAGTTGTAAAAATGAAGAGGGAGATTGTGTATATAATAAATTATATGAAGGAAACGAATTTGTTCTTAGGACGGTGCATCACGGTGGTCAGGATTTCCCGTTTGATCTAATTATTCTGTGTGGGTATCTATAGAAAACCCAAAAGCATATTACAATAAGAAATAAAATTTTAAAATTTGTTTTAACTCTCACAGTAGAGTATGGAAGATAGAGGGGGAGGGGCGGACATTCCTTCAGTCCCACCAGTTGACAAATAGTCCGTCATTACTTTATTTATAGTCTAAATCAATACCTGCATGCGTTATTGCTTAAGACTGACTTTAATTCAGTTAATTATCTTACTTTTTACCTAGATTAATTTAGGTTCAACCAGTTTGGTGTTGGTTGTAATTCCATTTAAAAAATTTAGATCAATTCTTTGAAATATTTTTTTTTTGTTTATTTAATGGAATTTACAACTGTATACAAATATAACAAGTAAATATGCGCAAATATAAATATTGGCATGTACAGGCTTGAAGAGTTACTACCCAGTGGTAGCACTCTCTAAATAATTTTAAGTAAGAAGATCACGAGGCCATCTCCTTTTCAGACGCCTAGGAGGATTATCAGGAATCGAGAAAGAAGCAAGAGTGGAAACAAACGGATTTGGATGGGACTGAAGTTTATCATGAAAGGATAGATATCTGGCTCGAGCTAAATCAGCGACATATGGTACATTAAGGTCTTTATGAATGGTTTTATATGTGACAAAGTATGGAGCATTAAGGATTTTACGGAGGATTTTGGATTGTAAGGATTGGATACGACAGGAATTTGATGGTTTGGTGGAGCCCCAAAGCTCAACTCCGTATGTCCATATAGGTCTTATTATAGTTATGTAGATAAGTCTTTTGTAATTAATAGAAAGTTTGGAACGTTTGTCTAGTAAGTGTTGGAGCAGTCGGAAACGTCGAGCAGTTTCTTGTCGTTTCAGTCTAGTATGAGGATTCCAAGTAAGACGTTTATCCAAATGGAGTCCTAAGTAGCGGATTTGCTCAACAGGAATAAGTGGAGTATTATTGAAAGTTACTGTAGGACAAGACGTCATAGGTTTACGACGGAGGGTAAAGGTGATTTGATGGGATTTGTTGGAATTTATTTTTATTCTCCAATTTTTACACCATTCTTCAAGGCTTGTGATATGTGATTGAAGAGTTTGGGATGCAATTAAAGGATCGTTATTAACAGATAGCAAACATGTGTCATCGCCATAAGTGGTGATGACAGTGTCAGGATGGGTTGGTATGTCAGCTGTATAAACTGTGTAGAGGATGGGACCGAGGATACTACCTTGTGGAACGCCTGCAGATTGAGCAAAGAGGGATGAGAAGACATTATTTTGGTTTACTTTGAAGTATCTATCAGTAAGATAGGAGCGGATAATGAGGAAGTATGTATGGGGTAGGACTTTTCGGAGTTTGTACAGAAGACCCGGGTACCAGACTCGATCAAACGCCTGTTCAACGTCGAGAAAGACTCCCGTGCAGTACATACCGAGCTCCAATGCAGAGGAGACTACATCAACCACACGGTGACATTGTTGGATAGTGGAATGCGATGTGCGGAATCCAAATTGGTGATCAGGGATAATATGATTAGAATCTAGGATGGGATGAGTTTTAGGATGAGTTTTTTCCAGGATTTTGCCCATGATAGGTAACAGAGAAATAGGACGGTAAGAGGATGGGTGTTCGGGTGGTTTTTTAGGTTTGTGTAACATTTTGACAATAGATATTTTCCAAGAATCAGGGAAATATGTGGATCGGAGCACAGCATTGTATATGTAAGTGAGGAATAGGATGGCTTTCTGAGGAAGAAGTTTTAGGATCTGGGAAGTGATAAGGTCGAGTCCAGGAGCTTTTCGGGAAGGTAATCTGTTGATGATATTAGATATTTCCGAAGGATGAAATGCTTTAGGTGGAAGAGTCATTTGGAGTGGAATATCCAGCTCTGCTTCAATACATTCAATTTGATGTGGATTAAGGATATCAGGATGTGGATTAAAGGTTTGGAAGAGGTATTGACCGAATAGTTGAGATTTTTCTTCATCGGATTTGGACCAGGTTTGGGATTCAGTTAATAGTGGATGGTTAAAGTCTTTAAACTTTAGTTGAAATATTTAAATAACGTTTATGTAGTCTTACCCGGGAAGGGTATTTTTCCCGGTATCCGGCCGCTACAATTTTTTTTTTTAAGTTTGTAGAATTTTTTTATATTATTTTAAAAAATAATCATTAAATTGTGTGCAGTTGTGCGTTAAGCACAGGCTTTTGTTTAATTAATTATAACGTCAAATAAAGTTTTGGACTAAATTTTTTTTAATCTTATGAAAACGTTATTAATTATATAATGAAATGTATACAGGTTCGAAAGACAATATAGCATACTACTTACATAAAAAATAAATGAGATTTGGAAAAATGCTCAGAAAATGGTTTACTTTTTTTTATATAAAAAAAATGTGTCATAGACATATTTTCTAGACCTGACATTGATAACAACTACCAGTGTTCTCGAGGTTTCGAGGGAACAGGGACTCCGAGCCGAATAACGTTTTCGGTTGGTTCGAAAAACTGATAAGCGGAAAGTAAAGGATGTAATATAGTACGGGGTCCAGAAGGAATTAAACAAAATTTTGAGGGAGCACATTTTTACTGAGTTATGGATTTTTGAAGAGTGCAGATATTTTCAGACTGAGGGACTTCAGCCAGAAACTGAGCTTTCCAATGATGTTGATTATAAGTTTAAGGAAACAGATTAAATACTTCCATTCTCGTTTTCTTTTTAGTAATATTATTGTTAATTTTTTTATTAATTCTTAGAAATTATTATATTAAATATTAATTTTCTTAAAAATTAAATTATAGCCACAAATTTAAGTTATGTTGACTTAATTAGGACTATACAATTAGGACTTAATATAGGATTATTTTATTTATGACGAAAACGTGATTTACAATCGAAATTTATGTTCAATAAATTTTTTCCTTCTAGATCGGCTATAGGCCCACTATCTCTTTAAAATAAATTTTTGAATAATAGCTCATTATAAACAGGATGAAATGATAAACATTTCTCTTGCTGACAATATGCAGGTCCGATTTTACTTTTTGAGATATTTTAATCCATATATAAAAACAATTCAATCAGTCGACTTCTACCGACTTTACTCTAGCCTTACACATCGGAGATCTGACGGCGCAATGTTTTTCACTCTCCACAAAAAAAGTGCAAAAAGCACTTAAAGAAGTTTTAACTTCAAAAATTACAACTTGATAACGGATTCAAGCATAAATGTGAAGTTGAGGCCACTGAATTACATTTTTGTTAGACTATATTCCCTCTCAATTACAGACATTTTCTCCTGAAACACCATGTTTAATGTTTTAATATTAAATGTACAAGTTATGAGCTGCTTACTTAGGGGTTGATGGAGCTGAAGTGGAGGTAGATGGTGCAGGGAATGTAAAAGGTTCGTTTTTTGTACTTGTAGTTCCTGTTTTAACGCTTTCTGAAAACTTAACCTCGAGATCAGAGTCCTTTCTATCTATTCTGTAAAATAAATAATAATAGTCATAGAAATCAATGTTTGAATGAACCCATAGAACCCTTAAAAATATAATTAAATTGGCTTCTTTATTTACTTGACAAAGAGATTAGAAGGTTGCTTGGAGACTGTATGAGGGTGCATAGACAGCTTGGTGAGTTCCTCGTGGCAGACCGCCCGTACCGAGATCTCTGCCCCTTCGAGGAACAACCTCTTCGGCAAGGATGCTAAGAGCCGTATCCTGGCCAGGCCTTCCCCTGTGTCGGCGCCCTTGTACATCCTCCTCTCCAGACCGCCTGATAACAACATGGCGGTTATGGAGTACAACTCATTATAATATAGTTCGTATTGAAACAATAAGCTCACCTATGACTGGCCCGAACTGGGAGAGGAGACGCAGGATGTCCTGGTCCTTGGCATTGTGGGGTATAGCAGAGAGGGCCAACACCACGGTGCCCTGGGACACATCCTGAAGCCCCAGTTGTTCTCCCCTGATACTGATCCCCTGGGCTAGCAGTTGCTCCAGTTCCAGCTTCCCCTTGGCGCTGATGTAGACGCTCCCTTCCAGCAGCCGGACACCAACCACTCCAGTCGACATCTTTTCGCAAGCCTCGATAACTTCCATTACCTGCTCATGAGAGGTGGACACGATTAAAAAATATACCAATATATTAATAAAAAGTTATAAATAAATTAAATAAAAAAAAAAACTACGTTATGTCCTTATGCCCACACGATTGAAGTGAAAACGTTCACAGAGTTCAATAAATAATATGAAATAAAAATAAACCATTTTTTGTACTGTATTCACAAAATAAAAGCATTTACAATACGTACAATTATAATTGTGTATAAACCCTTTTTTGTTTTATATTGACAAAGTCCCAATATTGACAACTTTATTCTGGGACAAAGTCCCTTAAGAATAACAATTTTGTATATAAAAATTAACATACCATCTGGCCAAAATACATATTACAATAAAAAAATAACTAAAAACTAAGTGATAACAGAAGTATTTACATTATTACATTTACATTACAGAACGTGACTAGACATCTTTTCCATGCTCAAAAAAGAATATGTATTTATATGCAAATGATACATAGAGAAAAATGCAAAAAAAAAAATTGTAATGAGGAATTGGAATAGGAGGCTTTTAAATATGGATAGGGATGGTGCATTGCGGATTTTAAGTGGGATGGAATTCCAAAAGGTAGTGGAGCGGACAATAAAGGAGTGTTGATATGAGGCAGATTTGTGGGAAGGGGTATAAAGGCCAGAAGGACGAAATCTTGTGGAGAGGAAGTGAATAGATGACTTGAATTGAAGGAGATTGAATTCATAGGACCGACGATGATTATAGATTATTTGGTAAAGGAATGTACCTAGGAAATATTGTCTTCTGAAGGAGGGGAAGAGCCACCCTAACTCGGCGTACTAATGGGATACACGAGAACATCTCGGGGTTCTATTGACAAATCTTACAAAACCATTCTTGATTCCTTTCAGTCTGTCTCCAAGTTCCGATGAGAGGCCACCGTACACTACGCAGCAGTAGTCAAGGTGGGGGAAGATACTAGGAGTCTACGTGTGGACGTATATACAGTTAAATTTGTGTATAAATTATTCTGGTATACTTTGCTCTGACTGATCGTCAGACATTTTTATCATACTATAAAAATGAAACAATATGCTAATGATATTAAATTTAAATATCTGTTAAATGTCTAATAGACACTTCGTCAATTGTTGTTCCATATTTTTGTTGTGCTTTCATTTTGATCATTCCACATATTCAAATCTAATATTGATTTAATAAGTCAACTAAAGGCTGAGATGTGTCTTTTGAGAAATTAACATTGAAATATCCACTCAAAGTAATGTTTTTCCATTTCCCCGGCGTCATGTCTAGTGTTGCCCAAAATCGGTCTTGGTCTTGCATATGACGAAGGAAGCCTAACTGTTGCAAGCCCAGGACTGGTAAAAAAAATCTATTATTAAAATAAAAATCAAGGCAAAATAGTTACTAATACTTGACAATCTTAGTTACTATATGTTAATAATCGGTATAACCAATATACTTTTGCAATTAACTCTTATTTTTCATTCAGGCTTAGTTCGATTTCTCCCATCTAAAAAATTACAGTAATATCTCTATACAAATAAGCTAATAAGTAACTGCGAGACTCTTGTGCAAGACCAAGACCATGACCAAGACTAAGTTTGCAAGATCAAGACTCGTTGCAAGACAATTTTTAATTACAGTTCATTACAAAGAAATGCTTAACATTTTCCTATCCTGGACATTTAGAGTGGGATAGATTTTTATTTTCTGAGATATTTTAATCCAAATGCAAAAATTATTCAACTCGAGCCGACGTTATAAAAAATGGTTTTATCCCCGTGTGTCAAAAATGTGACAAGTTTCTAACTATAAAACAAATTTTAGAAGAGGGTTCATTTTTTTGGAATACCTGAGTTATCAATTTCCTACTCTGGATAATCCGAACTAAATCAAGACAAATCACAGCACATCACGGTTATTGTTCGACACGAGACTTGCCCTTTTTCCTTGAGTTTTCCTTGACAATACACAGATTCCACAGATAGACACCGTTCACTGCGTTGGTTTGACATTTGACCGAAAAATGACGGGGGGCCCACATATCACGAAAAAGAAAAACACTAAGTCAAAGACTAAGACTTCTAAATGCACTTCTCTCAAAACACTTTAAATTAAAACGTAGACGGAGATCGAACACACACCGTTACTTATTATTTGGACTTGCACATAAAAGATATTTAGAAGAGCTAAAAAGGCTCACATAAACAAACTTCAAATCTTTCAAATAGAAAGCACTTTGGTACGTTAGCAGCATAACCTTACACAATAACCTTCTTATGCCAACTGTTAACGAACACATACGAACCCATGACAAATTACAAAGACACCCCAATATACTCATGATGTGGCCTAAATGATATGACCTAATAATTCACGCCCGGCAACGTTCATAAAAGGTTGAAAAGGAGCTGGTTGAGGGACCTCGTCGCTTAATAATAAATGTAGATTTTACTCCAGTAGGGGGGCCGCTGGGTACTGCTTCCCCTCATTCCTCTCACACCATTATACATATAATTGTCATTACTATTATGACGGATGTGAATAAAAAATTATAAGTTGTAAAACATTTTTTTTTAGTTTATTTATTAATTTATTCTTATTTTAAACCTACCAGCTAAATAGTTTTAAAATAGTATTCTTTTGTTGATGACCACCGATGACCTGGATGTATTCCGCCAAAACATTTTCTATTCTTAGAACAAGAAATATTTTAACTTTCTCAACGAATACAAACCTTCACTACCTTTCAGTATTAGAAAAAGAAAAATCTGGTGCGGAGCGCCCATCACACAACTTTCACTTACCACTCTCTTCTTAGCATAAATAAGTATTTTCAGACAAAGGAGAAGTTAAAGTAAAAATAATAGACGCTATAATTATTTATATTTCATTGTGGATATTTTTATTTGTATAAGTACCCTCATATGTACAAATTTTAATATTTATGTCGGTGTAATCTATACAATTAAATATTAAATAATACCAACAATAGTATTTATGAAAACCGCATGTATATATTTATATCATATTGTCGGAGTCCGTATTATATTAAGCTCATGTTACGTATGGAAGTCTGTTATAATCTTTCGGACGAGCTCGGGTGCGATAAATTACAATTATTCTTCGTTACGATTTTTTATTTCTCCTTTAGTTAACTATCAAATTCTTTTCATATTTTATTTTTAACTATCTTTTATATTAGAGATTAATGTAAAATAGTATATTGTTTCAAATAAAAAAAATTAGAGGTACTTTCAAGGAAGCTAATATTGAAAATTAGCTACATAAGTCCTGTTAGAGAACATCAATCAGAATAAAAACTACATTTTATTTAAAACTGCTTAATTTTACACTGATATAATGAATTTAATTAAAATCGTCCGAGAAAATTGTAAATATGTGTTTAGCCCATGATATAAAGTGCCACTTCCGGTCAGTCGATTTTGACGAAAACGATACTGAAACATCTCTAGCATATAAAAACCTTAAATATGCAATTTCACTTTCGTACGTCTTTTCGTTTTTGAGGTAGACTGCTAACACACACACATAAACACAGACCATGTTGCGGGAGTTGGTTATTTGGACTCAGGGGACCTCAAAACGTGTATTTCCGTTTAAAACTGAGATTCGAAAATTTTCACGATCGCAATACTTTTCTTGACTATATATTTCATATATAGGTAAGTGAAAGTAAAAATGAAATCATTACTGATTAATATTGTTCGAAATAACATTTATATAATAATAATTATTATGTACAGCTTGCGACATTATAAAATAATCTGAAGGTCTACAAAATGAGTCAGTTAAACAAATTATGTCTACTTTTCCTTGATTTTAATCAATTCGAATCGCTCGTGGACCGATAATGACCAATTAAGGATGAAGATATATCCGCGCCGACCTCGCGTTCCATGTTCCCTTGAGCTGACTGCGGCGATAACGTTTCCAATGATCCTTGAGTGCAGTGTCGCCCAAAGAGCATTCGGGCGTGTGCTTGTGGTAATCGCGCCTCCCCTCCCGCGGTAGGGAAATGAAGGGTCCGTGTTGCGTTGTATCATGTCATGCAACAGCGTGAACAACATTACCGTGACGTTGAGCAGGCCCTGGGGCAGGGTGGCCGCCGCGGTGAAGGGGTGCACGCAGTTGAGCCTGATGCAGGGGGGCAGAGCCCCGTTGTACTCCTCCACGCCTCTCTCGGGGTTGATGCAAGTCTGCAACAATATATTATTTGTTAGAATATATCCAGGGTCAGTCGGGAGGAATGGGCAGAACTGTGCGAGTGGGTTGCACACAGAAAATGACTTTAAAAAACTACCCTCTGAGGCGTCTGAAAAGAAGATGGCCTCGTGCTAGTTTCTCGACAAGCGTTTTCTTGTGATTGTATTATTACTGTGTGTAGATTTACTAGTTGTATTTTTTTATAATACTGCTGTAAATATCAATAAAAAAAACTGATATGTTCTTCTCGGATTTTCATTTGTTTAAATTTGATTGGCTAATTACAAATAAGCAAAATTTCACAAATAAATAATATTTCATACATTTTTTTCTTTCGTCGGCCCAAGATGCTCACAGTGATCGAACGGACATCATTACTTATTATTTGGACTTACACTTTAAAGATATTTAGAAGAGCTAAAAAGACTCACATAAACAAACTTCAAATCTTTCAATCAGAAAGCAGTTTGGCACTGCCCCTATTGTTATATTAAAATATAATGGAGATATAGATGTGCATTACTATTTGTTAGATAGATGTATATAAATTTGTTTATTTTTAAAAATCTATTTTGGATTCTTCAATAAATTTGTACAATGGCTTAATGGTATTCCCATCTAGATCAGCCAGCCCTTGGAGGAAAGCGCTATTGTTATGGATGAGGGGGTATTCTTCCTTTATTTTTCATATCTGTTGCGTTTTTAAAATAATGTGCAATGCGTTCTCGATGGAGTTACATGTCGAACATTTATCATTTTTTTCAACTTTAATTACTGTCAACCCGCAATTGCTCGACCATGGTTAATTCTTAATCTTGTAAGTAAGACTACTTCTTTTCTGTTTAACTGTAATTGGTTTCTGGAAATGGGTTTCTTTTTCTGTGTAATTGGTATCTGTTGTAAACAAAATCATAATGCTAATTGGTCAATCCATTTAAATTAATTTTGTTGCTGGACATTTTTGATTTTTATAATTCTTTTACCAGTTATCCCATATTTATTTGAGAGTTCAAAAACATAGAACAATTTTAAGTCTCACAGTTTTTTCTCGGCGACCATTATTCATTTTCGTTTCAACTTTAAATATTTGTGGTCATTTTGTGGATATCAAACCAAAATAAAAACTGTAATAATTTTGAGTATTTTTTTTGTATTTCCGTCCATCAATACATTACACAAAAAAAAAAAAAAAAGGAAAGTGGTTTAAGAAAATCATGAAAATAAACATAAAACGAGACTTTTAGCGCTGCAAAAGTGTAATAATGAAAATAGTCTTAAATTTGATTTTTTTTCGTATGTAGTCCTATCAGTGTACTATTTGCTGATGAAATTTCAATCTTGAAAACTGTATTTTTTTTTAAATATTAATTTTTAAAAACGCCTAAAAATTGTTTTCATCGATTTTTTATGTTATATATCACAAAAGGTACTGAGTGAAAAATTATGAAATTGATACAGTTTATACCTCTTTATGATAGGGAAGTGTGATACCAATAAAATTTGATGATTGAGACTCAGCTGGTTTTAACAGAGATTTGAATTTGAATATCATAAAAGGGACCGAGTGGAAAATTATGAAACTTGTACAGTTTATAAAACTACATATTAAATACTGAACACACGGAACATGGACGAAAATGTAGAAAAGTACTCTAAATTATTTCAGTTTTTATTTTGGTTTGATGTCCACAAAATAACCTGAGTTAGATGTATTTCACCAAAACGTGTTTTAGGTTGAAAATAAAATAAAAAATGGCCGCCGAGAAAAACTGTGAGCCCTAAAATTTTTTCAACTATGATATTAAAAATTATAGTCAGAAAGAAACTAACTATGATTTTTATATATGGGAGTTTTGGCAATTGGTAAATTCTCCACTCAAGCCATATATGTGTGATTATACTCTGCTCATCCTCTACTGGTCTTTAATGCCAGTAGCGCGGCTGAGTGAGGGACGCTTTTATCTCCTAGAGTCTAGTCTTTTCTTCCACGAGTGGAGAGAAAGGCTTGGTTGGGAGATCTTGAGTGAATATATATATATTATTTCAGATATTGTATAGAATCATGTATGTATTTGAGTGCTTATTTTCATTAGCTTAGTTTCTTTTTGTTTAGTTAAGTTTATATACATTTACTTTTAGCATAATTATTTTTCTGTATTATTTATTTTTATTTATTGTGAATGTGCTCTTTGAAAACTATTATAAATTTCCTCAATTTTGAAAGATTGTAATATCTCAATAAATATATTTTGAAAAAAAAAATATGATTTTGAACTCTCAAATAAATATGCAATAAACTGGTAAAAAAATTATAAAAATCAAAAATGTTGAACAGCATGGTCCGGGTGATTTCAAATAGATTGACCTTAAGAAATGTGTATTTTTTTTTATGTTTTTAAATAACCAATTGAAGATATGGAGGGATGACGCTGGGCATTATTTATTATTATTATTCCCGACAACAAATCCCTCGTCAGTATTTTTGACAGGTTCGGATGAAGAAATAAAGTTAAAAAATGTACTATTTTGCGTGTGCTTTTCATTTCATTCATGTTTATTGAGTTGATTTTATTTTCTTGTTTATATATTAACTTATTATAATTTATGTACTGATTAAATTTTGTTTATGATGCGTTCGGTCACTACTGCATTTGATTATATTATATTTATCTAATTTTATTCTTAAGGGACCTAACCCCAGAATAAAGTTTATTTTATTTTCTATACCTTTTGAAATATTAGTTCCGAAGAGTAACTTAAAAACGTAAAACTGGTGGGAGGAGTGGTGGCGGCTGATAGGCCGGACTGCTATATTATTGTACACATAATTACAATAATCCGGTCCCGAAGTTGCCTTACTCCGGCTCGTCCATCACCCTGCCTGACGTTATCCGGCCTTGCTAGGTTGGGCCTCATCGATTCCACGTGTTCGGCGAGGATCGGTTAATCCGTCAGCCGTTCCGTCAGGTTACAGATGGCCTTCTCCGCTCTCTTTCTTTTAACCATCCTCTTTCAGGACTCTAACAAATAAAATCTCTTTCCTTCAGGCAGGAACGACAATGATATATTTCTGTTCAGGTCTTTTGTATAAAAACTCAAGCTTTGTTCAAAACTTTTTTAATTATAACTTCTGCACGTTGGTATGATAAGAATTTAATTTGTTGATAACTATTGTAAAAACGCTGCAAATTATTCACACAATAGTTTATTATTTCCGAACAATTATACATCTAAAGTAACATTTCCTTCCTAATTACAAAGAAAAATAAATAAAAGGTAATTCTAATTATTGGACTAAACATTTTTTTTTAATCATTTGTAATATACTAAAAAAACTAACATTACTTCAGTAACACATTAAAAATTCAAAAACAAAAACAAAAGATATAACCTTTGCAGTAGAAAACAAAAAACTAGAGACCATAGTATATCTTTGCTCCCAATTGTACGATTTTAACGATTTTTTTTTTTTAGGAAATTCCATAAACTTTTAAAAAACCAAACGGCGTACGGACAAAAAAATTTTATTCGTTTTTCGAATTCTACGTATCCTGGAACGTGAAACATCATCTTTTGAGAGGCAGTTAAGTTTTTTAATTTTTTGGTCGATCACAATGGTTCATTATTGAAAATAATAAATCAAATGAATAAGAACAGCTATTGTTAATGTGAATAAAGAAGTAATTATAAACTACTTATGTGCATAGTACATTTGTTTGAATTTAAAAAAAATGTATATATTGAGTAATATATTATTCTGTCATATAGGAAATTATTTCAGCGAGGTAAGAATACATTTACACTATATATACAGAAAATGTAAAATAAATAGAAGTAAAATAACTAAATAATAATCAAAAAGTATATAAAATAAATAAAAATAAAATAACTTGAAGATAAGCAAATAAAAAAAAATAAAAAAACACAGCCATACCTATATACACTATTTACAATGAGGCGAGGAAGCTCCAACCACCCTTGTCCCATCAAAAATAGAGGGAAAAACAGCACTCCATGAGATCCATGTGCTACTCTCTCAAATTCGTCACTGGTGCTAAAGCCAGTAGGTTTAAAATAAAACATTTTTTTACTTTTTTTCCCGCTAAAAAAGTATTGTAATATTCACTGAACGATTCTCAACAGGTATTTACTTTTTAACAGATATGAGTCCAAAAAATGTATGTTTTTGAATTAAATGGAGTCCCTAGTGCGCATTAGGGGCTGTGTTATCTACGGAAAACTAGCTATTCTATACATCTTAAGTAAATTTCCGTCAAAAATCAGAAACAAGTAAAGAAAAAAGAAAATTTAATTTTGACATAACTCAAAAAGTATACATTTTATGGTGAATTTTATGGTCAGTTATTTGAATGATAATTAAGCTCTCTAGAATATTAATTAAATCATTGAAATCGAAACAGATTAAGCAATTACTAAGCTCATCTGATTTTTTCCATCTCTTTTATTACTTTTATATGCTAGGTAAGGGGAAGGAGGAAAATTATCGAGTCATATTTATGTTCAGTTTTCAACAGATTTTAGACCATTTTTCGAAAGATGATTAAAATTCCTACAGATCTTAAATATGGATTCCTCTAAATCGGACTAATATTAGCAAAGATACAGCCCACCGATTTTTTTACACTGATTTTAAATGTATTGATTTGTTCTGTTCTGGGTTGCTTACCGAGGTTGCCATGCTCGTTCATTTCTCTTTGAGTTTTCAAAGAAGTCGTATTCTAAACATCTCTTTGAACATTCTAGATGCTTATTTGAAAGAAGATTGAATTTTCTTTAAAATAAAACTTACATGTAGAAACAAGAATTAAAATAACCTTGTAATCTTAATAGAATAAATTTCAAGGACGATAATAGTTATGTTGGACTAAGCACCCAAAGGAAAGTCGTGTGATTGGACACAACACAGTACACTTTAAAAGAGTCGAAGCATAAAACATTTTTAAGACTACATTTTTGTTTTCAGGAATATCTG